GAGGCAGCGGCGGTGCGCGAGATGAAGTTGGCAATCTCACGAGTAGACGGCTTCCTCACAGGCAAAGAGGCATTCGGTCTGCTGCCTGTGCTGCTCCACTGAAGAGGCCCACTTTTAGCAACTGTTGTTTGCACCTGTGAAAGATTGGTCTCATTGGCTCTTCGTTTGGACAGAATTTCCATTCGCTTCTTGTTCAACTCGAGTAAAAATGGATTGGTACTGCTTTGTGGCACTGGCTCCAGTGGCTCACTTTCGAGTGGTTTCACTTGCTGTGGTGGTGGCACAGGTGGCTGAGGTCGAGAGGGTGCGGGTCTAGGAGGTGGCGTTTGAGCGCGTGCTTTTGCGTAGCTCTTTCCACTGGATGCAAACTGCAGCTGGCTAATGTTTTCGTAGATGCGCTCTTTCTGCTGTACCGCTGTGGCCGGTGCAATCTCCCCAATGAGAGGCGGCTTCACCTTGACCAGAGCGGGTCGATTGCTGCCTCTGCTGCCCACTGTGGCCAGAGGAAAGCCTCGGTGGATGTTGGCCGGCACTGGCGGCGTTTGGCTGCTGTTGCTGACCGGCTTGCTCTCCTGCAGCAGACTCTCATCTCGACTCAGGTCAGGAAGGCTTCTGTTTTTGGTCTTCAGCAGTCCACCGAGCAGCAACTTTCGCCTCACCTTGCACTGCTTCCGAACAGTGCCCGTATGGCTGATTTCCCCGTACGCCTCACTGTCGTTTTCGCGACAGCTTTGCCAGCCAGAGCTGTTTGAGGGCGATGCTGCCTTCTCCAGCGCTGACCGCCTCTTGGTGCCTTCCCATTCGCTGTAGTAGTCGCTAAAGTCTGACTCGCGAGGCAACTCCCTACATTTGGTGGAAGCATTCTTTTCGGTGTTGGGCAGTAGCACTGCGGCAGGTCGCATCTGTTCTTTCTGAAGCTGCTGTAGTATGGAGTTCTTTGGCAGTGTAGATCGCTCGTCGGCGCCAAATGACTGACAGCTCGTTTCTTCGGTGGTCAGATTTCCGTTGGAAGTTTTCAGTACACTCTTTCGCTTGCTTCGCTTGGGCAGGGTTGCGTAGATTTCCACATTCTGCGCTGGATTGGTTGGTACCACTATCTGATGCTGTTGTTGTTGTCGGGAGGGGGAAACTGCATTGACTCGAGGATCTTTACCGTCTCTGCTTCCCTGGCGACTGTGCTTCCCGTGACTGCTGTCCCTGCTTGACTGTCTACTGTGGTGGTACTCATGAACGGCCTTCATCATCCGCCTCTCCTCCACCTCCGCCTCCTGAATGCGTCGGTGCAGTCCAGTGGATCGCATAACGCACATGCTGTACTTCATCTTGGCCGATATCAAAGTGTGGTGGTTGCTGTACGGTGCGTCCATGGCGATGCGGGCTTTTGAAGCAGCGGAATCAGCCAATGCGGCCGCTGCCCTCAGGTCGCCCTCCCTCTCCTTGTCGTACGACTTGCGCAGCAGTATCTCCATCTCTGCAAAGAGGTGATCGCATTCATTTCTTGCCGATGCATTGATCATCTCTAGCAGGTGAACATCTTCAGGTATTTGCTTCAGCTTATGGCCGGCCAGTTTGGACGGCGAAGTGGCTGCAGAAGGGTAACTGTCAGAGCTGGACACTGAAAAGGAGTCGTAGCCCTGGTCAGAGTGTTTGCTTGACTTTTGCTGACCGTTTTTTAGTGGCCTATGAAAATGAAAAAGTTTTAGTTTGACAAATCTGTGGTGAGCAATGCAAAGGGGTTCTTACCTTCTGTATGAGTAGAATGGAGTGTCCACTGAGGAGACACTGGAGGAGCGGTCACCACTGGAGTTGCCTGAGTCTCTGCGCTGTAGTGAACAGCTGATCAGCTGACTCTCTACAGTGTGGTTTCGAGGAAGACTGCTCATTCGAAGAGCATTCGCAGAGTCGAATGATTCGAGACTGCTTGAACTGTTGCGGTTTTGCCGCTTGTTGAACATGCCATGTGCGCTCATCAGCTCCGCCTGCTCTGATTTCTTTTTGTTGTGCTGTTGAATCTTGAGAATACTTTCCACTGCCTTTCGACTAATGTACCCGTCAGTTGAGTCGCCAATGTCGCTAAAGTATGAGGTAGTTGAGGTGGCGGAAGGCGAATCTGGCACCTGCTCCAGGTAACTTTCACTGACAGGAGACACCTTTCGAATTTGATCAAAGTGTGAAGCCGCAGTGCTGCTGGCCATACTGCACTGCTTGGCAGTGGGCTCCGATGGTGCAGCCTTCTTGATGGCAGTCATTGAGACATTCTCACTGAAGGCATGCTCAGTGTTCACCGCCGTTCCATTGGGGTTGGCGTAGAGCAGCAGCAGTGGCTGAAAGTGTCCCTTCAGGCACTTGTCCACGACCTGTGACCAGGAGGGACCGATGACCCGGACAGTGGCATCGTCAAAATAGATCCACTCTGCCAGCTGGGAGTTGTAGAGGTAGGTGCTGTAGTGCTTTCCGTAGTAGGTGACTAGGCCCACCAGATTCAACTGGTGTCGCTGCTGCTGCTTGCCACTGGAGGCGCAGTTCAGGTCAAACACCTGTGGGAAGATAAGAAAAGTTAGTTCTCTGAGCACGCGACTGCCACACCACCAGCCGGCCTACCTCATCCAGTTGAATGGTCGTCTGAATGAGCTGAAAAACGCTGCGAATGAGTGTTAGCGTAGGATGCTCCGAGTCCCACACCAAGCCGACGCTGATGACATCGGGCCGGTTTACAAGCTCCTTCCTGATGCTAATTCGAGTGCCGCACATTTTCTGTCATAGTAAAAGAAGAAGATTGTTTGATCAGATGAGATTACAGTCCAGTCCCAATGTGCTCGAATGAAGCAAGTATATGTAGAAGGAGCACTTACCGGACAGTTTCGAATGTCTCCCATGGAAGTGGCCAGCTTGAGGAGGCTGCCAAAACTCAGCGAAGTACTATCACTGTTGAAAAGCTTTGCCTGAGAACACAGTGCAGTCGTGGAGGCGTAGTGCACCATTTGCGAGAAAACCAGCGGCTCCGATGTTTCTCCGCAAGCGTGACAGGCAATCTGCTCAATGAGGTTCATGGCAAACTTCTGGTGCGGAATGCAATGCGGTTGACACTGTGGCGACTGGGCGTCATTCACCTCTTGGTTGGTCAGGTGGTAGTGAATTCGCATCAGAATGTTCTCCTATATAGCAAAAAATTTAGTTAAGTTGATGATGACTAGAAAAGATGAAGAGAACTTACAAAACACTCCGCAGCGTCATCCATGAAGCCCATCTGAAAACGACGCTGGTCAGAGAACGCCTCAGCGAGAGCAAAACGCAGTGAGTCAGGTGGCAATGCGGACTCTTTGCTTGACTGAAATTGATTGAATAGTTCCTAATTACGGAAAAAAATAGAGCAAGAAAGTAGTAGTGAGCAAATGACGTGTGGAAGAAGTGATGAAGCAGTGCCAATGCGAATGACCTACCTTGAGGGCACAAAATATGCAGGAATCGCCCATGCAGGCATGGCCGCGCAGTTCGCGAAAACTTCTCCTAAATATGTCCAAGTGCCACAAGACCTGCAGTGAGGGAGCAAAAACGTCATTAGTAAAAGTCAAGGTAACCTGCTAGTCATTAGCCAACTTTTGGACATTATTCAATCGATTTCTATACTGCCATGTTCGACTACAATGCACGTGCTGTCGATTAGCACTGCTGCTTCCCTACACACAATGTCCATGTATGTCTGTCAGCATCTCTCCGGCCGAGGACAATGTCAATGGCTCCCAGTGGCAATGAATGGCTGTGAATTGGCACTTTTACTGCGCAGTGGACTGGGCCGTAAAAATGTAACCATCTGCGCTAAGCAGCATTAGCAGCAGCGGCAGCACTCCAATCGAAGCGACTCAAGATAAGACAGGAGTGACAGTGATAGTGGGAATGGAGTGACTATTCAGAGAATAGAGTGGCAGCTGAGAAGCAGCAACACTGGCAAAATCTGGCCAACTCTGCTGGTTGCCGCAGTGAAAGCAACGAGTCTGTGCGTCGTTTCGTTGTCCAATGTCCCCTCAATGCAAAGGGACAGTGTGGGAGAGTGCAGAAAGATGCGCGCAGATGTTAAAGAGACTGCTGCTAATTAAGTCTGCCACTACGACTGCAGCCTATGCAAAGCGTGTCTGTTTCTGTCTGTGTGTGTGGCTCACATAATGTGATGTTCGGAAAAACGTGCCATTGAGAAAATATAAAGTAAAAGTCAGGCCGTCATCTATCTGGTGCAACCACAGAATCGGTCAGTGTCGATGAGTGTCCCGTGAGAAGAAGTGCCGAAAAGAGCGGCGGGTGGTTGTGGTGGTGGTAGAAGAAGGCGCGCCAGGAGACAGGGTCCAATTATAATTAGGCGACGCGCACTTTCTCACTGCATCAGATTGCACTTTATGGCGTCCAATCCGATCGAGTACGTGAGAAAGCTGCTCAAGAAGGAACCATCGCAACTGACGATGGAAATGACGAGCTAGTGGGAGTCAGATTTTGATGACAAGAATGAGATGAGGATGCCAGTTGATGCTAGATAAGCCAACAAGCGTGCCCGTCTAAACTGTATCGATTTATGCAAAGCAAAGCCGCAAATGTAAATGCAATTCTAATTGGCGCTGAGATCACCTTGGCGGTAACAAACACCTCGCCTTTAATTCGATGCAGTGCATTGCTTTTGACAAAAGGTGATCTCCTTTTGCATATACTCACAATTGGCCGGCGAACAATCGCTAGGAGCAGCTAGGAGGTGGCAATGCATCAATGCCACCGCAAGCAATGATGGTGCCATTGTTTGCCTCTTTTCCTAAGTTCGTTTTGAGACTTGTGGTTTCGGTCGTTTTCACCGCTAAAGCCAATCAATTAGCCTTTCCCTCAAGCTTGAACAGTCAAATTAGCACTTTTTTAGCACTTTTTTAATTAATTAGTTGCAGAGTAGTGACGCCCAGTAGATTGCCTAATGGGCGAATCGATATGGCCAACACGTTTGACCAATTGTGAATAAAAGGTGAACAAGTGCTGAGCAGCTGGCTTTGTTGAATGCTGAAGCAGTCTAAAGCAGAGAAGAGCAGAGCACTGTGCTTGATCGTAACACCGATAATCGGTATTACGAGCATCGATGTAATCTAATTAAGCACGCATAGTAAGTGGAAGACAAAGGGAATCAGCATCAGCATCAGCTACATCTAGCTCAGTGCAGTGTTTTACGGTTCCGTCTTTTGTAGCGTGCACGTCTGCTACGGTCTGCTCATCAGAAGGGAGATCTGATCAGCAGAAAGAGAATTCTTAGTAGCAGTGACTGTGAGTGAGCGGTCGTGAGGGCACATCCGCAAAGAGCGCACATACAGGTCTGCGCTCTACAGCGCGGAGATGCTCATTAGCGAGCAGTCAGACAAGTGCAAGACGGCGATTGACTGACACCGAGAGACACTGAGAGGAGGAGAAGGAGATGAGCCCCGGCAGTGCTGTTCAGTGTTGGTCGTCGTCGTGCGATAAAATTAGATGAATGGATTGCTCACAGTCGATTGTCCGCTTCGCAGAAGAGGTGGTCAGAGGAGTCAGTGCACCAGGCCAACAGCACACTGCCAGAGGACACTGGCACCTCTCTCTTTCTTTCGGTGCGCTGCAGAGGCATGGCACACATCACTTGGTGCCCGGCGCGATACGCCACTCGGCAGAAATGATATATCGTTGTGAGGATGACAATGGACAGACGTGAGAGGGGCTCACTGCTGAGATGAGCACACACACATACCGACACACTAAACGTCTGCATACATTCATACATGCATGCAACTGGTCACTCACTGGTCGGTCTTTGTGACCAATTAGCGATTAATCTGAGAAAAGAAAGAAAGGATAAAAAGGGAGGAATAGCACGACAAGGACAGCATCGTAATATCGAGAGCGTGCCTGATGCTGTATGACTGCAAATCAAAGTACTGGCTTTGTTTGCTCTCTAAAAATAACTATGCACGAGAGGAAGACAAACAGGCAAGTTAACTTGACTCTAGACTACAAGACAATCGATGGACAGATGAATGGAGTAGAAAGGGGGACCTGAAAACGGGCACGACTTGCAAGTGATACTTTCACAATTAGTGCAGTACTGCGCAACAAAACGATTATGAATTGTGGAGTAGTCAGCAAGTCATTGCAATTTGCAATTGCAACAGTCTGTCTCACTGTCCACCCTAGTTGACCAGCACCGAGACAACGGCATAGTTGTCCATCAAATGGCAAATGGACACTTAGCTGACCAAGCAACTTATTTGAGGTGCTCCACAGTGCCTCTTTCTTCGGACAGCTGGACGAGTTAAATGGAACTGCAAACACATTTGAGGTAGTGAGCAAGTAGCGGCGCTTTAAGTCTCCGCTCACGGTGCGCCAGGAGCTGACCTAGCGGAAGTGGCAAGGAAGTGAAACAATGGACCAGCAGATGCAGGGACTTTTGAGGGCCCACTCAAGCATGCAGCCAATTTTTTTTTATTAAAAGGACCCTTGCAAGGAAGAGAGAGAGAGAGAGAGAGAGAGAGAGAGAGAGAGAGAGAGAGAGAGAGA